CAGGAGACAGCCATAGTCTTCTCAGAAATCACTGGCAGTTGGAGGAACCAAGGTCTTTCTGGCCTTGACCAGATTGGTGCCAGTCCATGGGCCACTGCCTACTGGTCCACAGGGAGTTTCCAAAGAAAGCTGGACACAATATGGCACTCATAGGACATTGGTCCCTGGCATGTTTTGGGGAGAAAAGATCACTCAGTATAGTTTGGGAAGACTTACCTAAACAAGTCAAGAAGTCACCAGAGAAGGGGCAGAATGCAAAACCATTTCCTCACTGAGAACCGCAGTCTTGTGTTGACATTATCAAGGCATTAGGATCTCTTAAAGGAGAAATCCACCGCAGAAGAAGCAAAAAGGCTGCCTTTGAAGCACTTCATTATTATTGTCATGTGCCTCCACGTTTCTCCTGACTTTTGGTGGCACCATCACAGTGTTTCCTTTGCTCAAAGGGGGTCATCCTTTGCTTCCTTCTGTGGCTGAGAGAGTGTGATCTCCCATGGTCAAGTGGAGACTCAAGTGCTGGTCTCCAAAGTCTCACCATTGCACTGCACTGGGTTTCTTTTACATTCACGCAGGATAAGGAAACCATTGACTTGGGGACATTGGAACAAGTCTTCCATAGATGAGATGTCCATTGGGAGATCCTTGGAGTGGTCAGTCCAGCAGTGGGTCACTTGGCTGGGAATTTCTCCTTCACACAAGATGAGGAAACCAATGACTTGGTGACACTGGACCAAGTCTTCCATAGATGAGATGTCCATTGGGAGAGCCTTGGAGTGGTCAGTCCAGCAGTTGGTCACTTGGTTGGAGTTACAGATATGGAAGATATGATGGCTGTCATTCCCTTCCGGATTCGCCATTCCCAAAAGGGTAGTCCCATTGGTACAAAAAGTAGGAGCTACAAAGGAGCAGTGGATGGATGGAGAGGAGGAACTATTATTCTAAGATCCTTTTGTGTCCCTTCCAAGAGTCCGTTGAGTGGTCAGGAAGGAAGAGTCCTTTTCCCAGGACACTTTGATGAAGTTGGTGATCTTTTGTGGCCCTCAAGTTGGTTGCGGAGAGAAAAAGTGGGGAAATAATAATAATAATAATAATAATAATAATAATAATAATTCCAGTTGTTGGTCACTTGGCTGGAGCTACAGATGTGGTAGAACCCATGTCAGCCATTCCCTTGCAGCTCCAGAAGAAGCCATTTCCCAAAGTATGGCCAGAAAGTAGCAGCTACAGAAGGGTTGTGGATGGACAGGTGGAAAGGAGGAATTATTATCCCCAGATCCTCAATGGGAGTTGGCAACCATTTGTGGCCCTTACTCTTCCAAGAGCCAGTTGAGTGGTCAAGAAGGAGAAAGTCATTTTCCTGGACACCTTTTGAAGCCCTCACGTTGGTTAAGGAGTCTAGCAGTTGGTCACTTGGCTGGAGTTATAGATGAGGAAGAGACAGTGGATGTCATTCCATTTCAGCTTCTGGATTCGCCATTCCTAAAAGCGTGGTCTTACTAGTACCATACAGAAGGGCAGTGGATAGATGGACAGGAGGAACTATTATTCCAAGATCCTCGCTGGAGTTGGCAACCTTTTGTGTCCCTTCCAAGAGTCAGTTGCATGGTCAGGAAGGAAGAGTCCTTCTTGATAGACTCAGTGACTTTTTGTGGCCTTCAGGTTGGTTGCGGAGAGAAAAAGTGGGGAATAAATAACATAAGAAGAAGTCCAGTAGTTGGAAACTTGGCTGGAATTATAGATGAAGAGACTACACATGTCATTCCTTTGCAGCTTCAGAAGAAGAGGAACTATTATTCCAAGATCCTCAATGGAGTTGGCAACCTTTTGTGTCCCTTTCAATAAGAAGAATATGTCCAGCAGTTGGTCACTTGGCTGGAGTTACAGATATGTCAGAGAGTACAGCTTTCATTCCCTTTCAGCTTTTGGATTCTTCATTCCCAAAAGTGTGGTCCCTTTAGTTCCAAAAGCTGCAGCTACAGAAGGGCAGTGGATGGATGGAGAGGAGGAACTATTATTCCAAGATCCTCAATGGAGTTGGCAACTTTTTGTGTCCTTTCCAAGAATCAGTTGCATGGTCAAGGTGGAAGAGTCCTTTTCCCAGGACACTTGACAAAGTTGGCGACCTTTTGTGGCCTTCAGGTTGGTTATGGAGATAAAAAGTGGGCAATAAATAAACATAAGAAGAAGAAGAAGAAGTCCAGTAGTTGGTCACTTGTCTGGAGCTACAGATATAGAACAGACTACAGCTGTCATTCCTTTGCAGCTTCAGGAGAAGTCCTTTCCCAAGTGTGATCCCTTTGTTACAGCAAGTAGCAGCTACAGAAGTGCAATAGATGGATGGTTGGATGGAGAGGAACAGTTGTTCCAGGACTCTCGATGGAGTTGGCAACCTTTTGTGTTCCTTCCAATAAGAAGAAGTCCAGCAGTTGGTCACTTGTCTGGAGCTACAGATGTGTCAAAGACTACCGCTGTCATTCCCTTTCAGCCTCTGGATTCACCATTCCCAATAGTGTGGACCCTTTAGTACGGAAAGTAGCAGCTACAGAAGGGCGATGGATGGATGGAGAGGAGGAACTATTCCAAGATCCTCTATGGCGTTGGCAACCTTTTGTGTCCTTTCCAAGAGTCAGTTGAGTGGCAAGGAAGGAAGAGTCCTTTTCCCAGGATGCTTGATGAAGTTGGTGACCTTTTGTGGCCCTCAGGCTGGTTGCGGAGAGGGAAAGTGGTGTATAAATAAACATAAGAAGAACAAGTCCAGTAGTTGGTCACTTGGCTTGAATTGGAGATGAAGAGACTACGGATGTCATTCCCTTTCAGCTTCTGGAGAAGCCATTCCCAAAAACATGGTCCCATTGGTTCAGAAAGTAGCAGCTACAGAAGGGAGATGGATGGATGGATGGAGAGGAACTATTATTCCAAGATCCTCGATGGCGTTGGCAACCTTTTGTGTCCCTTCCAAGAGTCAATTGCATGGTCAGGAAGGAAGAGTCCTTCCTAATAAACTTGGTGATTTTTGGTGGCCCTCAGGTTGGTTGCGGAGAGAAAAAGTGGGGAATAAATAAATATAAGAAGAAGAACAAGCCCAGTAGTTGGTCACTTGGCTGGAATTGTAGATTAAGAGACTACGGATGTCATTCCCTTTCAGTTTCAGGAGAAGAGGAACTATTAGTTCAAGATCCTCAATGGAGTTGGCAACCTTTTGTGTCCCTTCCAATAAGAAGAAGAATTCCAGTAGTTGGTGACTTGGCTGGAATGGTAGATGAAGAGACTACGGATGTCATTCCCTTTCAGCTTCAGGAGAAGAGGAACTATTATTCCAAGATCCTTGATTAACTCAATCAACTCGGCAACCGTTTGTGTCCCTTTCAATAAGAAGAAGTCCAGTAGTTGGTCACTTGGCTGGAATTGTAGATGAAGAGACTATGGATGTCATTCCCTTTCAGCTTCAGGAGAAGAGGAACTATTACTTCAAGATCCTCAATGGAGTTCGCAACCTTTTGTGTCCCTTTCAATAAGAAGAAGTCAAGTATTTGGTGACTTGGCTGGAACTGTAGATGAAGAAACTATGGATGTCATTCCCTTTCAGCTTCAGGAGAAGCCATTCCCAAAAACATGGTCCCATTGGTTCAGAAAGTAGCAGCTACAGAAGAGAGATGGATGGATGGATGGATGGATGGAGAGGAACTAGTATTCCAAGATCCTCAATTGCGTTGGCAACCTTTTGTGTCCCTTCCAAGAGTCAATTGCATGGTCAGGAAGGAAGAGTCCTTCCTAATGGACTTGGTGATTTTTGGTGGTCCTCAGGTTGGTTGCGGAGAGAAAAAATGGGGAATAAATAAACATAAAAAGAAGAACAAGCCCAGTAGTTGGTCACTTGGCTGGAATTGTAGATGAAGCTTCTGGGTTCGCCATTCCCGAAAGCGTGGTCCCATTGGTACCAAAAGTGGCAGCTACAGAAGGGCAATGGATGGATGGAGAGGAGGAACTACTATTCCAAGATCCTCAATGGAGTTGGCAACCTTTTGTGTCCCTTCCAATAAGAAGAAGAAGTCCAGTAGTTGGTCACTTGGCTGGAATTATAGATGAAGAGACGAGTGCTGTCATTCCCCAAAGTGTGGCCAGAAAGTAGCAGCAACAAAAGGGCTGTGGATGGACGGATGGAAAGGAGGAATTATGATCCCAAGATCCTCGATGGAGTTGGCAACCTTTTGTGTCCCTTCCAATAAGAAGAAGTTGTCCAGTAGTTGGTCACTTGGCTGGAATTGTAGATGAAGAGACTATGGATGTCATTCCCTTTCAGCTTCTGGGTTCACCATTCCTGAAAGCGTGGTCCCATTGGTACCAAAAGTGGCAGCTACAGAAGGGCAATGGATGGAAGGGAGGAGGAACTACTATTCCAAGATCCTCGATGGAGTTGGCAACCTTTTGTGTCCCTTCCAATAAGAAGAAGAAGTCCAGTAGTTGGTTACTTGGCTGGAATTGTAGATGAAGAGACTACGGATGTCATTCCCTTTCAGCTTTTGGGTTCACCATTACCAAAAGCGTGGTCCCACTGGTACCAAATGTGGCAATGGATGGATGGAGAGGAGGAACTACTATTCCAAGATCCTTGATGGAGTTGGCAACCTTTTGTGTCCCTTCTGATAATATGAAGTCCCGTAGTTGGTCACTTGGCTGGAATTATAGATGAAGAGACGACAGCTGTCATTCCTTTGTGGCTTCCAGAGAAGCCATTCCCCAAAGTGTGGCCAGAAAGTAGCAGCTACTGAAGGGCTGTGGATGGACGGATGGAAAGGAGGAATTATGATCCCAAGATCCTCGATGGAGTTGGCAACCTTTTGTGTCCCTTCCAATAAGAAGAAGTCCAGTAGTTGTCACTTGGCTGGAATTATAGATGAAGAGAAGATCCTCGATGGAGTTGGCAACCTTTTGTGTCCCTTCCAGGAGTCAGTTGCACGGTCACGAAGAAGAAGTTCTTTTCCCAGGACATTTGTGGCCGGTTAGAAGAGGTTGGCCTTGAGTGGGTTGGGCTTCCTGTGGAAGGAGGAGAGGACACCGGAGAATGGCCCTGGCATGGCTTCGGCCGGCTGCCAAGCCTTGAGGAGGTCGGCCGCGTTGGCCCCACTGCTGGTGCTGACCCCGGCCCACAGGGCTTGGTTCTTGAGGGCCTGGGCACCATGGCTGGAGCCCATCCCAGGCTGACCGCTCCCCGGGCTGGGGCTCAGGCTGCCCCCTCCGCCAGGGCTGTTGAGGCTGCTGGCCGAGGGCAAGGAGGCCGTGCTGTCGGGGGTCGGGCTGCAGTTGGACTCCTTGGACTCGTCGTCCTCGGAGGAAGAGCGCGGGTCGGCCTTCTTGCCGGACGAGGAGGATCCCCCGTTGCCGTTCTGGCCCTTGGCGTTGGCCGCACGCTCCTGCTTCCGGAACTTGGCCCGGCGGTTTTGGAACCAGACCTGCGAGAGAGGAGGAAACCGGGAAAGAGTGCGTCATTGGCCTGGAATAAGCCTGCGTCCAGTTCAAGGCATTGCAATTCCTCATAATGGAAAGGAGGACACCAGGAAAATGAACAAAATCTGGTTACCAGTATTAAAAAACACTAGAATCAAGACAGTAAATCACAAACAGGAGAACTCCAGACAGCAAACAATCAAAGGCCAGTGAACACCTCCCAAACAGAGGGGTGCCTCCAGGCAACAACAGTTAGGCTTTGCAACTGGAAAGCTACTCAATGGTATACAACAGGCATGGGCAACATTGACCCTTCAGGTATTTTGGACTTCAGCTTCCACAATTCCTTGCCTCAGGCCTCTTCCTTTTCCGCTTAAGCTCATTCCTGCAGAGGGTGGCTCCAGGCAACAACAACCAGGCTTTGCAAGTGGAAAGCTACTCAATGGTATTCAACAGGCATGGGCAAACATTGGCCCTTCAGGCATTTTGGACTTCAGCTTCCACATTTCCTGGCCTTCCTTTTCCCCCTCAGCCGTTTAAGCTCATTCCCACAGAGGGTGCCTCCAGGTAACAAACAGCCAAGCTTTGCAGCTGCAAGGCTACTCAATGCTACTCAAGCTCACTAATTGCAACATTCACACTTGCTTCACACAGACAAGGGTTCTTTCTCCCACCCTTGACATTACTGCACAAATGCACATACACCTCACTTGCCCCATTCCCACAGAGGGTGCCTCCAGGCAACAACAACCAGGATTTGCTGCTCCAAGGCTACTCAATGCTAATCAAGCTCACTAACTGCAACATTCACACTTGCTTCAAACAGACAAGGGTTCTTTCTCCCACCCTTGACATTATTGCACAAATGCACATACACCTCACTTGCCCCATTCCCACAGAGGGTGCCTCCAGGCAACAACAACCAGGCTTTGCAGCTGCAAGATGTCTCAATGCTAATTAAGCTTGCTAATTGCAACATTTACATTTGCTTCAAACAGATAAGGGTTCTTTCTCCCACCCTGGACATTATTCCACAAATAGATATACACCCCACTTGCCTAATTCCCACAGAGGGTGCCTCCAGGCAACAACAGCCAGGCTTTGTAGCGGTAAGGCTACTCAATGCTAATCAAACTTGCTAATTGCAACAGTCACACTTACGTCTGTTCTTTCTCCCACCCTGTAAATTATTCCACAGATATACATACACCCCACTTGCCCCATTCCCACAGAGGGTGCCTCCAGGCAACAACAGCCAGGCTGCTCAATGCTAATCTAGTTTGCTAATTGCAACATTCACACTTTCTTCCAACAGACATGGGTTCTTTCTCTTACCCTGGACATTATTCCACAAATACATGTATACTCCACTTGCCTAATTCCCACACAGGGTGCCTCCAGGCAACAACAGCCAGGCTTTGCAGCTGAAAGGCTACTCAATGCTAATCAAGCTTGCTAATTGCAAGATTCACATTTGCTGCAAACAGACAAAGGTTCTTTCTCCCACCCTGGGTATTATTCCACATATATACACCTCACTTGCCTCATAGCTGCAGAGGTTGCCTCCAGGCAACAACAGCCAGGCTTTGCAGTGGCAAGGCTACTCAATGCTAATCAAGCTTGCTAATTGCAACATTCACACTTACGTCTGTTCTTTCTCCCACCCTGTAAATTATTCCATAGATATACATACACCCCACTTGCCCCATTTCCACAGAGGGTGCCTCCAGGCAACAACAGCCAGGCTTTGCAGTGGCAAGGCTAGTCAATGCTAATCTAGATTGTTAATTGTGGCATTCACACTTACAAAGCTAGCCCATGCCTGGTCTAGATGACCTCTGGGGACTCAGAAGACCATGAAGGAGCTTCAAAGTGCTTGGTTTCGAGGGAAGCCCATGCTTCCGTGGAGGAGGAAGGGTGGCATGTCTCACCTGGACTCTGGCTTCGGTGAGGTCTATCTTGAGGGCCAGCTCTTCCCGGGTGTAAATGTCCGGGTAGTGGGTCTCGGCGAAGACCCTCTCCAGCTCCTTCAGCTGCGAACTGGTGAAAGTGGTGCGGATCCGGCGCTGCTTCCTTTTCTCGTTGATGGTGGAAGGATCCGAGAAGAACTTGTAGGGAACTTGGAGAGAAAGAAAGGAAGGAAGGAAGAGCCTTGAGGTCAACTTGCATTTGTGTTATTATTTATTTATTTATTTACTATTTACAGTATTTATATTCCACCCTTCTCGCCCTGGAGAAGATTCAGGGCAGATCACAATGGACATATACATGGCAAACATTCAATGCCACAGACACACAACATATATAGACAGACACACAGAGGCTATTCAACATTCCAGCTTCATGAGAGTATGCTTTGAATTCCAGCCACTGGGGGAGCTGTCGCTTCACCATCCACGTGTGACACCGATGGAGTACTTCCTCATTCTTTTGCACATTGCTGGAGAATTTTATGGCATCGTAAATTAGTTAAATTAGCCTCCCCCGCTTAAGCGGTACTTAAATTTCCTACTTGACAGATGCAACTCTCTTTCGGGCTGCAAAGGTCGACAGCAAGCTAAACAAATGGCCGGAAGCTCGCTCTGACCCAGGCTGGTTTTGAACTCATGACCTTTCAGTCAGTAGTGATTTTAATACAGCTGACTCCCAACCATCTGCACCACAACCCGATCCTATTTATTATATTTATTTATTTATACACTGCTTTATCTCTCCTGAAGGAGACTCAGAGTGGAAATAATAATAATAGTAATAATAATAATAATAATAATAATAATAATAATAATAATAATAATAGGGAAGGGTCTGCTGTGGACTCATCTCATTGTGTTTCAAAGAATAACAACAACAACAACAACAACAACAACAACAACAACAACAACAACAGCAAAGACTCTGGCACAAGCCAGTTAAGGTGGTCCCAGTAGTGATCGGCACACTGGGTGCAGTGTCTAAAGACCTTGGCCTGTACTTAAACACAATGGGCACTCACAAAATTACAACCTGTCAGTTGCACAAGACCACCCTACTGAAACATCACACAGTCCTAGACAATTTGGAAGTATCTGGCATGCAATCCAAAACAACAGCCATCATCAAGATCGAACTGCAAAGACTGTGGCACAAGCCAGTAAAGTTGGTCTCAGTAGTGATAGGCATACTGGGTGAAGTGCCTCAAGACCGTGGCCTGCACTTAAACACAATGGGCGCTGACAAAATTACAATCTGTGAGCTGCAAAAGGCAAATGATGTGTGCAGATCCCAGTAAGGTGGCCTTCTGAACCTGGCAGATGGTAATTTTGTCAGTGCTGATTCTGTTTAAGTGCAGGCCAAGGTCTTGAGGCACTGCACCCAGTGTGCCTATTGGGATCTGCATGCATTATTCGCAGATACATCGCACTGTCCTAGACACTTGGGAAGTATCCGACATGCGATCCAAAACAACAGCCATCATAGTGATCTTGTCTACTGTGGACTCATCTTGTTGTGTTTCTAATAATAATAATAATAATAATAATAATAATAATAATAATAATAATAATAATAAATGAAATTTAAAGTAATAATAATAATAGTAATATAATATGTAATGCAATAGTATAATAATAATAGTCTCTCATCTGGTATCTCATAATAATAATAATAATAATAATAATAATAATAATAGTAGTAATAACTGGGAAAGCTGACATGATATGAGGATTTAAAGATCGAACTGCAAAAACTCTGGCACAAGCCAGTCAAGGTGGTCCCAGTGGTGATCGGCACACTGGGTGCAGTGCCTAAAGACCTTGGCCTGCACTTAAACACAATGGGCGCTGACAAAATTACCATCTGCCAGCTGCAGAAGGCCACCTTACTGAGATCTACATGAATTATTCGCCAATACATCACACAGTCCTAGACACTTGGGAAATGTGCAATGTGTGATCCAATTCAACAGCCAGAAGAGTGTCTGCTGTGGACTCATCCTGTTGTGTTTATAATAATAATAATAATAATAATAATAATAATAATAATAATAATGACCACTTTATCTCTCTCTGAAGGAGACTCAAAGCAGAAATGATGATGATGATTATACTTATTTATATCCTGCTTTATATCTCCTGAACAAATATCAAAGTAGAAATTATTATAATAATTATAATTATATTTATTAATACTCTGCTTTATCACTCCCAAAAGAGACTAAGAGTGGAAGGAATAATAATAATAATAATGAGTAAACCCGGTTGTATTTCTCCCAAAGGAGACTAAAAAGTGGAAATTATTATTATTACTATTATTGTTATTTTTACTATAATTATATTTTATATTTATTATATTTATTATATTTGTTTATATCTTGCTTTATCTCTCCCAAGGGAGACTCGGAGTGAAAATAATAATAATAATAATAATAATAATAATAATAATAATATATTAATTATATAATAATAAATAATATATATTATTATATTATAAATAAAGTTATTTTATTATTAATTATTTATACYCTGCTTTATCTCTCTTGAAGGAGATTCAGARTGGAAATAATAATAATAATAATATATTAATTATATATAATAATAAATAATATATATTATTATAAATAGTTATTTTATTATTAATTATTTATACCCTGCTTTATCTCTCTTGAAGGAGATTCAGAGTGGAAATAATAATAATAATAATAATAATAATAATAATAATAATAATAAATTAATTATATATAATAATAATRATAAWWAATATATTTATTATATTATAAATAAAGTTTCATTATTATTATTATTTATTTATATCCTGCTTTATCTCTCTTGAAGGAGATTCAGAGTGGAAATAATAATAATAATATATTAATTATATATAATAATAAATGATGTATTTATTATATTATAAATAAAGTTATTTTATTATTATTATTTATTTATACCCTGCTTTATCTCTCTTGAAGGAGACTCCAAGTGGAAATAATAATAACATATTAATTATATATAATAAATAATATATATATTATATTATAAATAAAGTTATTTTATTATTATTTATTTATACCCTGCTTTATCTCTCTTGAAGGAGATCCAGAGTGGAAATAATAATAATAATAATAATAATAATAATAATAATAATAATAAGAATAAGAATAAGAATATATTTATACTCCGCTTTATCTCTCGGAGACTCAAAGCACAAATTGTTGTTGTTGTTGTTGTTGTTACTTTAGCTTTCCTGAAGGAGACTCAAAGTGGCTTAACATGAAAGCATTAGCATACAATTTAAAATATACCCAATATGCAAACATTAAAATGGAATTAAATATAAACAGAATTTTTTAAATTCCCAGTTAAAAACCATTAAAACATATTCAAAGTTTATAACCACATCACTTTGGGCTCTTGCATTGTGGAAGGGTCTATTAGAAAAAAAACCTGCAATCCTTGCAAACAGGAAACTGCTGGGTCCATGGGGCCAATAAATAATAATTAATAATAATAATAATAATAATAATAGGCTGCAAAACATTGAAAGCTCAAACCAGAAATCCCATTCCTGATGGGCAGCATCTCCCTATTATTGAACTCCCATGGGCTCAAGGCAAGGGGACATTGAGATGTGTCGCTTTGGCCAGGCGCTGGGACTCTTGGAGCCTGCAAAACCACAACTCCCATGATTGCATATGCATTATTATTATTAGTATTATTAGTATTGGTAGTAGTAGTGTTAATGTTCTCAAACTGCATTCATTGGGCAATGCAGACGCAACCCTAGTTAGGATTATGATGGGAGAGCAAAGGTGGATTTCCTCTAAACCAGGCCTGGGCCAACTTGGGCCCTCCCTCCCTCCAGGTGTTTTGGACTCCAACTCCCACCATTCCTAACAGCTGGTCCCAAGTTGGCCCAGGCCTGCTCCAAACTATGGTTTTTATTGAACACATCCCAAAGTTCCCTTTGCAAGGCCCGTTATTTCTGCAAACCATGCAAAATGGGAGCATTTTAATTGTTTGAAGAAAAGAGTGGGTTGTTGTTGTTGTTGTTGTTATTATTATTATTATTATTATGCCATAAAGCAGGAACGTATTTTGCGCCTGGCTTTTCCTTGCCTGTTGAAGAATGGCTGATGTTTACCTTTTGCAAAGGAGCCAACCTCACTGGGAAACTATATCTATCCATCCATCTATCATCTATCTATCTATCTATCTATCTATCTATCTATCTATCTATCTATCATCTATCTATCTATCTATCTATCTATCTATCATCTATCTATCTATCTATCTATCATCTATCTATCTATCATCTATCATTTTGCATTTAAGGAGCAACAAATGTGTGTATAAATATATACACACATTCGTTGTTTCTTAATTGCAAAATTAATTATATAATTCAAATTGCAAAGGTGTGTATGCATGTGTGTGTGTGTGCGTGTGTGTATAGAGAGAGAGACAGCAACGGATATATATATATATATATACACACACGCACACACACACACACACACACACACACACACACCTTTGCAATCTGAATTTATTTCCAGTTGGAAAATTCGAATTCGAATATATAAATTCAGACTGCAAAGGTATATATATATTGATTTTTTTTTGTCGTGTCAGGAGCGACTTGAGAAACTGCAAGTCGCTTCTGGTGTGAGAGAATTGGCCGTCTGCAAGGACGTTGCCCAGGGGACGCCCGGATGATTTGATGTTTTTATCATCCTTGTGGGAGGCTTCTCTCATGTCCCTGTATGAGGAGCTGGAGCTGATAGAGGGAGCTCATCCGCCTCTCCTCGGATTCGAACCTGCGACCTGTCGGTCTTCAGTCCTGCCGGCACAGGGGTTTAACCCACTGCGCTACGGGGGAGGGGGGGGGCTCCCGGTATATCTATATCTATTATCTATCAAGATTGGGAAAGGCGTCTGGCAAGGCTGCATCCTCTCACCCAACCTTTTTAACTTGTATGCAGAACACATCATGCGAGGATGTGCGGGGCTGGATGAATGCAAAGCTGGGGTGAAAATTGCTGGAAGAAACATTAACAACCTCAGATATGCAGATGACACCACTCTGATGGCCGAAAGCGAGGAGGAGCTGAGGAGCCTTCTAATCAAGGTGGAAGAAGAAAGCGCAAAA